GGCTATTTACGACGTAACTTGACCAGGATGAACAAATTTCGAATCTGGCAGCGACATAGGTATGCTGCTTTAGAGGGCTATAGATTTGCTAGCTATTCCAAACTCGCCCTATTATGTGATGTTACGGCCCCCTAGATCACATTTCCCTCCTTCTACGTGACATTTAGTTATTCGTCTATTTTTGTTGTGTGTCGCACGAGGTGGTTCTAAAATTTTTGGGGAAACGCCCAGACCTGCGGGCAAAGTTTTGGCATCAAAACCACTCAGAAAATAATTTGGAATGAATTATGCAGAGGCGACACGGGGTTATTACCATACCTAGGAGCATTTTTTTGGTCTCTATTTTTTTAGATGTTGTCTCTGAAATAACACTACGATATTCTAGCACCTGCTGATGTGGGGATCGTTATCAGTGAAAACTCAATGGTTTTACTGAATGGAATAAAATTGGAAAAATCGTAAGAAGTAATTAATATGAATTATGTGTTCATGCCCATGATGGATAATTTCATTCGGTGAAAAGCACTATTTAATCGAGAAATTTAAGCAATAAGGAAAGATGAATGAGAGAATCAAGTGTTTCTTTTCGATAAGATAAGGAGGACAAACACGAAATAAGCCTATTTGCTGTTTTCGGCTGACAAGTTCGACTGTTTCCGTTAAGGAAATAAAAAGGATATACCACTCAAATGAACCCAACTACGTTATTAGTTGCACAGTTACTCATAACAAGGAGTATAGCACAATATTACGTGTAAAAAGAAGGAGAACAAGTTCGTCTATGGTTTAGCGAGAATTCGAACCTCACCGTGATTCATGTTTTCTCATCTGAATATTACGTAAAGCAACATGGTGGGCACAATGGAAATAAATCGCTCATTGTCAGTATTGAGAAATTAACTTTATTCATAGGCATTCCGCTCGCTAACAACACTAACCGTGTTCAACTAAACGCTCAGCTTTAAAATTGATGAAAGTATAGAAACTTTTTCTTTCTTTCAAAAAGAGAAAAATCAGGCAGCACACTAAGAAGAATAAAATTACAGGAAATACATTGAAGCACTTAAAGGTAGAAAAGATTCGAAAAAGCAGATTCCTCTCCGGGGTAGTGTAAGTCACTCCGTGAGTAACATAGGTATCGCTGCGTATTCAAATCACTCGGGGTTTTTAGGCGCTATATGGACTCCGGCACAGAATTGCACTTTAAAACTTTCAACATTGTGAAAGTTGATGAAACATTTCACGGAAGTTTTCCATCTTCAGTATTTCTCATTCAACTTGTAAAACCCTAACTACCCGCTTCCATTCTAGGTCGCCCTAACAAGAAGTGGAAGAATCTACAAAATTAATTATACAGGGTGTCCCAGGATTAAGTATGAATATTGGAGGAGTCGATTCTTTGGGTCAAAAAAGACGTTTTTGTGGTATAACTTGTTTCCCAAAAACGCTTTCCTTGAGGGGCTACGGCCTCCCAAAGTTGGAGACAAAAAAAATCGTCTCTCAAACACTGTGGCAATTTTCATCGGCCAATATCAATGAAATTGGTGACAGGGGGTAATCTTTGGTGTTCTTTTCATTTTTGACCTATAAAAAGAGAATTTTTTTTTTTTTTTTTTTTTTTTTNAGATTTAGGGGGGTATCTAACCTAGAAGTCGCAACAATTAATGTTGCTAGCGACAAAAATTGATTGTGGGCGGCACCAGCGTTGACAAATATTGAGAAACTTTATTTCGCATTTTTTCGCTATGACACACGTTTTCGGTTATAGGGACTAACACGGCGATAAAAAGTTATACCGCAAAAACGTTTTTTTTTTTTTTAAACCGAAAGAATCGACACCCTCAGAATTCGTACTTGTTTCTGCACTGGACAAAAACAACACATTGGATATAGAGTCCAGACTATTAAAAACATCGATAAGAAAAAATACTCTTGATTCGGATTTTTGCTTAAATCAAGAACGGATCAATTTGAGCGGATTTCCTCTTGATTTAAGCTTAAATCTGATTGAATCAAGAGTATTTTTTCTTGTCAATGTTTTTATGAGTCTGGACTCCATATCCAATGTGTTTTTTTTTCCAGCGTGGGACACCCTGTATTGTCTTGGGCTAAGAATCGGGGAAATGAGCGGGAGCCATGTGGACGATGGAGTTTTGGGGTGCGGCTGGAGTGACGGGGAGAGGTGAGTAGTGGGGTGACCTTGACCTCCAATCTCGAGGGGGCTGCCATCCTGGATATCGGCACCTGGCGCTCCTCCATGTCGTCGTCCTCGTCGTCGGCATTTACTTTCGACGACCAAGACGACATTCCGAGAGTCGCCCGCCCGCGCCCCCGTCCCCTCCCGCCCCACCGCACAGTGGATCGAGTCAATTCCAGAGGTTGGACATAAAATTTCTGACTAAAACGGCAAAGTTTAATGTTAATTCCGTCACATTTTAAACTTTAAGGGGTGCTTCTAGCAGAAAATTTTACGAGAAAACCAATGAAACCATTTACAGAACCTCAAAATTTTGTATGGATGCTTATGTTATAAGCTTTTAAAGTTTCCAAATTTTGTCCGACCTCCTCCATTGACTCGATCCACTGTGCGCAGCGCCGCCTACCAAACTAACCCGGAGACCTTCCGCCCTGACTATCGAGACGCGAAGTGAAGCCCACAAACGAAAAGCACCAACTTTCAGGACTCGATATTTTCCACTGTCATGTCAGCGGCACCCGTTTTCGTCTCATCGTGCATGGCTTATATGAATGAAAAGTAATCTCGTTGAAAATCAAGCGTTAACAGCCACCAGGATCGAACCTGGATCACAGTGATGATAGTCAAATGAGCTAGCCACTCGCAGGTCGTAATCTCTACGAGTCATCGAGAGGAAGAAAGGTAGATGAGTTCAACAAGACACTTCCTTCATCCCAGATGACTTCAAGTAACCTATGCAGGGGTCGATTAAGTTCCATGCTTTCCAAAATTTCGCGCCAGTCGATTTTCTTCCACAAAAAGTGATGAGCTTTTTCATTTAATTAATTTTCTCTCTTTCTTCAGTCCTATGTCCCAGACCTGTCCTGAGTAGCCTATGCAGGGGTCGATAAAGTTCCATGCTTTCCACAATTTCGCGCGAGTTGAAAAAGTTCTTCCATAAAAAGTGACCTTCCTCATTTAATTTTGTTAGTCATCAGGTTTCTGGGTCAACCAGTGAGAAGGAAATTTTGAAATACTGGAAAGGAGGGCGTAATCAACGCCAATTTCACTATTTTCATGTCAGACGTCGCCAAAAAAAAGAAAGAAAAAAATATCTGAGGGCTTTCTACAATTTTAGCGCGNTAGCGAGCCCCAGAATGAGAAACAAATTTTAATCATTATTATTGACGGATTAGTAAACTTTTTACACGCTTTGGAAAATCTCAGAAGTTCGCGGTAGTCACTTTTCGGTAAGGAACTAGGGGACTCGGTTATTGTATCGAGGGGGGGGGTCGAAACGATCGCAAAGGCGGTATACTACGTATACGCGCCAAAATATCTGAGGGCTTTCTACAATTTTAGCGCGAGCTTGGCTAGCGTGATCGGGGATATCCCCTGAACCTGTGGTCTTGGTCGATTAAACAAGAAATTTGGACCAAAACCGATATATTAGAACAAATTAACGTCTTCTTGGTCGATCTGACCGAAATAAAATAACCAAAAGAAACCCATAGAATCATGAACGCGGACATTTTCAACGGTGTGGATAGGTTTAGCCTCAAGATTAAAAAATCAAGGACTTTTAGAAGAATTCTCAAAGCTTTCTTGCGATTTTTTTTCGACCTCCGAGTGAAGTCAGAAGAGCTTCGCTGTTGAATGGCGCGGTGCCCCCCTGGGAGGGGGGGAGGCCGCGGCGCGGGAACTCGTCAGCTTGCGCTCGCGCGTAGCACCTCGGCCGAGGGCATGGCAGGGGTCTCACGTGGGACACGCGGGGGTCATCGCCCGGTCACTAATCACAGATGAAGCCTATCAAACCTTTCCTTCCAATCAGTATTCATCCAAGCTTCTTCCACTTCCGCTCTCGCCCAAACCGCAGTCGCACCTGCGTCGCAACTACTCGAGGACCCTCCGTTTTCCACTAGGTCGTCGAGCCTCATCACAGGGACTCCAGGGTTCATTGCGGTGTTTCTTTTTTGTTTTTTTGTTTTGTGCCCCCCCCCCTTTTTTTTAAAAAAAAAGAACTTGACCTCCTTGTTGCCGGATTACGCGCTAAAATCTGTATATTTACCATGGGTTCAAATGGGGTAAAACTGCTGATTTTCAGCCAGTTTTCGAAACTCACAGGCGCCAACGCGCCTAAAAAGTCAGTCATAGCGCCTTAAAAATGAGAACTCTGCGTCAACGTAGCCCCTAAAAAGTTCCCCCTCCAAACAAAAAAAAAACAAAAAAAAAAATCCTAATTTTCCTTGTTGGTGATTTTTCGAAAGTTACAAGTTACAGCTACTAGTTCTGTAACTAAAACATCTTGCGTCTGACTTTTCACCAAATGCGCCGTGACATATCGGCAAAAAGTCAATTTGGCCCCTAAAAAATCTTCGATGGCCCCTAAAAATTGAGCTGAATGGGCCTTATGGCTCCTGAATTTCTAAGGTGAGTTTCGAACACTGTTTTCAGCACTATTTGGAAACTTTGGGAAGGGGGTCAGGCGCCCCACGGCAATTCGGCTTTTTCCATTTAATTCTTTGTAAACTTAGGTTTCTTCTTCGATTTTTACACTATTTATGTTGTTTTTGCCTCGGTTTGAATACTCGCAATTTGTACATAGTTTTTTTCGATTCCTTCGTAATCGACCGATTTGTTTACTTTACAGGGATTTTCTTCTTGACGATCAATGAACGCATGTTGTTTTCTTTTTACTCGGACGGAATTGGCAACATTTAATATTGTATAGCAGCTATCAGATAATGAGACACGCGCCGTCTTGCCGACGCGTGGGCTAGGAATGCATGAAATAAAGATTACTTGACTCACCTGTTGTAAGATCGATTTACTGGACATTCTTCGAGAACGGGCATATTCTTCCTATCCCACTAACCCAGTGGTTTTCGACCAAGAGCCTGCAACAGTAAAACAATTGACTCGATTACCTTTGAAACTTAACGCATGAAACGTCATTAAGTGCATTCTGCGTACAATTTTTCATTTTACAGTAGACAAAATCTGACGAAAAATAGACCACTTTTTTTCTTTAATTTTTAATTTTTTCTTAATAGAAAAGAGTGGTCCATTTAAGTTATTTGACTATAGTTTCCACGAGAATTAATTTACATAAATGTAAATTTGCTTCTTTTCTCTGAGTCCATTTATGGAAATGCTGCGAGGAGGGATCGACATCTGAACAGAAAGAGATAACGGCACAAAAATGGTAAAACAAACAATTTTATGGCAATCTGATTTTCTCTTTGGAATTATCCAGAAATATGGAACGACGCAATTTGATATGATGTAAATTTTGGAAACACTGGAAAAAAAACACATTGGATCTAGAGTCCAGACATTTGAAAACATTGAAAAGTAAAAGGACTCTTGATTCAATCAGATTTAAGCTTAAATCAAAAGGAAATCCGCTCAAATTAAGAGGCTTGGTTCTTGATTTAAGCTTAAGTCTAATTGAATCAAGAGTATTTTTTCTTGTCGATGTTTTTAAGAGTCTGGACTCTAGATCCAATGTGATTTTTTTTCCAGTGAACGATGCACTTCCTTATATGGACGTATTTCTGCCAAACGGAACTACATGCATTAAAACATGAGCTCTGAGACCCATAAGAATATATGCACAACAGGGCTCACGTCCTATGCACATAGTTCCGTTTGGCAGAAATGCGTCCATATATCAACGTGAAACTCGTCATTCATCAACAAACTGCAGTGACTTTCTCTCAAAATTCTCTGCTTCCTAAATGCGCGGTTGATCACTTTGGTTGGTGGGGATTTCTTCTGCGACGACCGAGGAGTCACCGACTTGACTTAATCGCCTTACTTTAAAGTAATCACTTACTTTCGTTTAAAGGTTACGCATTGCAAAACAAGGGTTTCCGGTCCGAAAGTTCCAGCAAGTGATAAAGGGAGAAAGAGAACGGATAAAAAAAAAAAAAAAATAATAGAGTTGCTCATCAGACGGACTTGTTAATAGAAAAAATTAGAGGATAAAAAAAGTCCAGCTAACCTCCCTTCTCCGAGGTTTAGACGATCACGATCAGCCTTGCTGATTCCGAATGTAAACCAACACATTTCTTCAATTACTTTCGCTAGTGGTGCATCGATGATATAATTGCAACGACTGAGTGAACAGGACCCCGAAACTGTCGGAGCAACGCTTGGCATCTCAATCATTTGCATCGCAGTCCACGTTTAGAACGTAGAATTGTATCGTTTATATGGATCTAACTTCTGTTTTTCGATAAAAGTTTTATATATCCTCATTCAAACTTAACACCCCATGTGGACCTCCTCAAGTAGCGAAGGTTACACTCGCCCGGAGACTTAAACGCGCGGCAAGAAAAACGATCAACGTAACTCCAAGCAAGTGGTGATTCTTGAAAGCTGGCAACACTGTTTTTATTCCAATTAAATCTATTGAAAATATCGATTTGAGGTGAGGCAATTGCTTCACCAAGAATCGATTGCTTTGCATACATTTAAATGGAGGAAAAACAATATTCCCGACTTTCAAAAATCACTACTTGCTTGGAGTTATATTATGGTTGTTTTTCTTGCGGCGCGTTTAAGTCTCCAGGCGAACGTAAGCTTCAGGAGATCAGGACTTGAGGAGGTTCATGGAGGCGGAGAAGTTGAGTTTGAAAAAGGATGAATAAATTTTAATCGAAAATCAGAAATTATATTACATCTATAAAGATGATAAAATTCTACGTTCTATATTAACGTAGACTGCGATGCGAATGATTGAGATGTAGAGCGTCTACTAAAACTGGCTGGCAAAAAAATCAAGAATTTTTACAGTAAGTATACTTGTTCGGTACTTCGCTAGAATTTCCTGCACCCTGAACCCAACGCCTCAATTTTGGTGAAAAGGTTCGTACTCGATACATCAAACAGGTGAGTGAGATTGTATCGATATCGATTGGTTCAACATGTAAACATAGCCTCTAAAGTCAATTTAGAAATCTGAGGGAACGGGTCTTTCGTGATGGATGTTTTATTCTTTTGAGTATCAAATGCCCATGAAAAGTGAAATTGTTAGGAATTTTCTCGTTTTCAGATTTTCTGACTTAAATTTTAAGATATTTGTTTGAGGTTATGTCCTACTGTTTTGAAGCAAACGATACATGGAACCACTATCGAATACGGTCTACACTGGGAAAAAAAACACACATTGGATCTAGGGTCCAGACTCTTGAAAACATCGACAAGAAAAAATACTCTTGATTTAATCGGATTTTTGCTTGAATCAAAACAAAATCCGCTTAAATTAAGCGGCTTGGTTCTTGATTTAAGCTAGATTCTGATTGAATCAAGAGAACTTTTTCTTGTCGATGTTTTTAAGAGTCTGGACTCTAGATCTAATTTGTTTGTTTTTTTTCCCAGTGTATTGCATTTACGGGTATACCTCTTAGACCTATGTGCGAGAGACCTACTGACCCTAGGACTTGGAGCTAAGAGGACAGATATACGCAATTTCCCGTAGCCCAGGAATGAGCGAACTGGAGGGAAGTTGCCAAGCTCCTTGGCTGCGGATCCGCGGTGCTTGGTCTACTTTATTCTTGGACGTGTCGGTCTCTTGGGTCGAGGAGCGGTGCGGTATACGGCCGAAAAAGACAAGACAGGATATGTATCGGCTCTAGCCTCTCCGACAACCTGCTTGCCAAGCCGCACCGCGCGCCGCTTCCGGGATCTCTTCGAATGAAGACGCCCGATGCCCCATCGCCATCGCATCGGCCAGCGGCCCGACCGCGGCTGAGGCCGCTTCGACTCTCCTTACCTCTCCGACTACCATACTCGACTACCATACTCCAACCTCCAAGCCACGAGCCATTGCTTAAGTCGCGTATCGGAGAACAACTAACAGTGGCGAGGCGTGTTTTGCCATTTATCCATTGATCTGCCATTTAAACCCATGGAAAAGGATCGATAAAATGGGTGTTGGCAACTAGAGTACCTGTACAGCGGGAGTATGGACAGATCGCTTCATGGAGGGCTTAGGGCCCAAAAGTGCAGCCACCCTTCTAACCAACTTCTAACGCACAAAATTTCACTGCCAGTCTTTAGATTCCAATTCTAACGATGATGGCTAAGGAAGTACATAAATGAGCGTTCTTCCACAAAAATGAGTAAATTTATGCAAAAACTAAGTCAAATACGTGCTATATAAACGATGGTTCGTAACAATTGTATTAATAAATCGCTCTGGATAATTGAAATTCTTAGGTTGGCTGTCTTTCTGGGCCCTAACTTTATTCGTGGAGGCATCGGTGAAGGCCTGATGGATTTTCGGAGTTTCACATCTGTCCGTACTCTCGCTATACAGGTACTCTAACAGTGGCGAGGCGTGTTTTGCCATTGATCCATTGATCTGCCATTTAAACCCATGGAAAAGGATCGATAAAACGGGTGTTGGCAACGAACACCTTCATACCTTCATAATCGATTCTTTGCCATAGCTTCAAATGAAGGAATATCGATTATCGATCGTTCAAGCCTCGCCACGGGAGAACAGTAATGCTCCCGATGGGTCTTTTGCGAGTCTTGGATCTCGAAGAATCTATGGGTCACGAACCTTATACATTTATTATTTGATATTCCGAAAGTTCGAGGTGAGAACCTAGATAATGCAGTGATTTGCCGGCTTCAGAAAAGTCCAAAAACTACGAGGGATTTCAAAAAGTGGCGCAGCGTGGCGTGAATGATCGATTATCGATATTTCTCCATTTGAAGTTGTAGTAAAGGATCGATTGTTAAGATGTTCGCTGCAAACACCTTAATAATCGATCCTTTTTCATAGATTTAATTAGCAGGTCAATCGATACATCGCAAAGCAAGCCACGCCACTGATTTCAAATGTCCTCGAGTGGCGAGAAAATGATGACGATAAAATGTATGCTACAATAGTCAAATCGCTATCTTCTCTCATTCTCTGGTGAAATTCAACAATTTTTTTTAAAAAAAAAAAAAATACAAAAAACCTCCCAAAACGCACTTTAATACGGAATTGATTTTTTGTTACTAATGCCACGAAGAAGATTCCTTCCATGCAATGTTATGGACTATTATTAGAGACTGTTTTTACGTTCAAAATATTTTTTATAGATTTCGAATTTTTGATAGGAGATTTACGAATAGTCGAATCCAAAACTTTTCCAAATCACTCCTTTTTTCAAAAATGCGACTAGGAGTGTTGCTGTTGAATTCGGTGCAATTGCCCCCCCCCCCTTCCACCCTCCAAACTGGAGCCCTGGTCCAAATCTGGTCAGAAGCCCTGTTACAGTAGCACTTTAATTACTCTACCATGTTTTGTGCTTAATGACCCGACGAAGAAATGTAGGTGCCGTGAAAACAGTAATTGTCGCTTGCAGCAGCTTGACTGGTTTCATTCGTATTGGTTTCAGTAGAACCTAAACATTAGCACTCATAACGTAACAAGTTGCTGTCAGATCAGTTTGCCTCCAAAAACTTTGTTCGGTAACAAGAGCGACTGATGGGCAAGAGGAGTTACTCGTCGTAGATTAGGCGTGTTCATTTGAATCCAGTTGTTGTTACGCATTAATAACAGTATTTACACGCACTCTCAGCTAATCAATTTCCCTTGAAAACCTGGGTGGGCAACCAGAGCGACTTGGGAGCTAGTGTAGTTGCTCGTTGCAGATTACGCATCTTTATTCGATTCAAGTTGCCGTTACGCATTGATTACAATGCTTACAATGCCTCCTCCAATCTAAACAGTTCGCCTTCAAAACTTGCGTATAGGCAACGAGGGCGACTTGGGAGCTGGTATTGTTGCTCGGTGCCCCTTAAAAAATGACCTAGCTAATGGTGTTCACGACGGAATGCCCGTTCCTAAAGTGCCGTAAAGCTCGGGTTTAATGCCACTGAAAAACAAGGA